GGTATATTTTTGTTCTTGTTGGAACCTTTATATATATATATATATATATATATATATATATATATATATATATATATATTGCATGTACAATTTTTTTTATAGAACATTTGTCGGAAATTATAATAAATCAAGAAATTGATTATTGTCGATTGCAAAATAATATACGTGTTAGACGACCACGCACGCGATTTAATAAAGAAAGGAATATTAAAATTAAAGAAGGACAAAGTGCTCTTATAAACGGTGATATTTTAGAACATTTTTTACATATGTTTTTACGCTTTAATCAATATTATCAGGAACCAATTGCTGAATTGCCTGAAGGTAAATATCAACATAATTGTTTTTTATTGAATACATTAAAATGTATTCATAATAAATAGACTTAAAATATCTTCCAATTTTTTTCTACAATTATTTATAAAGCTTTTTAATAAGCTTTAATAAGTTTTTTATATTATACCTTATTGTAGCCAATGATGAAGAAATAGATGCGAGTTTACTTTCAGATAGAATTCCAGAATCAGGTCAATATCAATTATCCAGCTTTAATTATGTATAAATTCAGTTTGAATAATAAATTACTACGTTTTTTTATTCCATGTTTAGCTGAAACTGGATCTCAAAATTTGTATCGAAGACGACATCGTTCTCGCAATAGTTTACCAAGGCAAGAGGAAGTTTCTCCATCTATTGAATCTTCAGGTAAAATTACATTTTACCAGTATTACATTTCTGTTATAATTTAATTTTGTTTTTCAAGAAAATGAATAATGTTAAAGATTAGACTATTAAAGTAAATCATCACACACATATAAATAAAACTTTTCCACGAAATATTTTATATAAAAGATATTCTTTAACGCTGTATTATTATACAGCTTATTTTATTATTATATTTTATTATATATTTTATTTTATTATTATATTTTATTATATTATTATACAGCTTATTTTATTTTGCATTTATTATAAATTCTAGTGAAATAAATTCATAAATATGTATTTTTACAGTTAACAAATTTTTAAAGCTATATCTCAATTATTTCTACATAAACATAAGAAATTTTAATATTTTTATAATTAAGAAATTCTTTTAGTTATATTAGCCTTGTATTAGCAAAGCGATGTACAAGATGCCTCATTTGTAGTAATACAGCAAAATATCTTTTTTAATAATTTATATTTTACAAAAAAATTTCAGACAAAAATTATATACAAAGTAATGTATTTAGTCGTATTAAAATTTTGAGTTTTGATTGTAATAATAAAATCAGATTAAAGTAAACCTTGTTTTTTTTAACATAAAAATTTATTTTTTATTTTACAAATTGATTTTGTCATTCTGCATATAAAAGAGTAGTTAGTACTAGGCGGGTTCTAACTCATATCCTCTCAGGGGAGGTGAGGTGCGAGGGGATCTCAGCGGATAGGGGGTATGACGTCACGCGGGGGTTGCGGGGTGGGGGATGCACCTGTTGGATGTTTTATGACATGCATAAACAAGAAAAAAGGGCGGTATTCTTTTGAAGATGATTTTGGACCTAACCCAAAAAATCATTTTTTATCATCTTATTTTATTTTATTTTTATTTTTTAAGGAAAAATTTTAACAGTGCCAATGTTCGGCTGCTTTGTCTCCCCTCGCTCCCCCCGTTTATATATCAGCGCCGATGTTCGGCTGCTTTGTACTCTCGAGGTACACCCCCCTAATATAAAGAATTCTAGGTTTTTTCCCCGTTCGACGTATAAACAATAGAGATTAAGCGGACAAGCTTTCAGAGATTGTCGGAGACAAAAATTTTTTTTTGCAAATGGGATATTGTAAAAAAACCTTTTATACCCTTATATATATTTTTAACTTTATTTCATAAACTTATATTTTTGAGATATTTTGGTCCAACCTTTTCAAGCAATTTGTGTATCGACGTAATATAATAGCGCATTTGCAAAAAAATTTTTGTCCCCGACAATCTCTGAAAGTTTGTTAGTCGAATATAAGGATTGAAGCGCATCAGATCATAGTACGTGATTTGAAAGCGCATCGACACGTCGATAGCAAAAGTATAGTGCAAAGTAGTGTTCTGTCAGAAAGTACAGTGTTCTATCAGAAAGCGTGATAATATATATAAAATGGAAGACGAAGATCACATGTTATCATCCGACAATGACTGTGTCAGTGACTGCAGTGCAGAGGACCTTACACAAGTCAGAGACAAAGTTGTATCTATTGCAGAGATCAATGCGTTAAGCGGACGTAAAAAGTATTGTACAATATACTTCTACTATTCCACGGGTGGAGCTTTAGCAGTATGTGCGTCCTGCATGATTAGGCTGCAAGGTGTAGATCCCCAAATTATGTATGCAGTTCGGAAGCATACAATTGAGACATTGGATGCAGTGAATGGACGATACTGTTCCAATTGCAGAGATCCATTATATTTAACATTTCCGTGCAATATGTGTCCACAATGCACGTTGTGAAAAAAAAACATTGAATAAGACTAAAGTGTGCGAGCAACGGAATAAAAAATTAATGAACATGTCGGTGGTGGAATATTTAAGAAATCGCGAACTTGGCGGAAGAAATTCTCCAATCGCGACCTCCCATCTAAAATCATATATAAAGATTAGAGAGAGGGATATACGGATTAGAAAGAGGAACAAATTAGAGGCAGCCATTTGCCGAGATTGCTGTTTGCTAGGCGGAAATCGAGAAGCGTGTTTCGAAAGGATGCGAGGAATCCATCAGCATAATTATCTTGAATATATCATAGGTTATGATTCTGATTCGGATTCTGATATGGATGCTGATCAATAATTGGAGGTAGGTCGCATGTGTAGGTATTTATTTTCAAATTATTCAAATAATTAATAAATTTTTTTATGTGCAGAAAGAGTCACCACTCTTCCACCGGCTGCCCCACCATCGCCTCTCATATACATCACCACCACCACCACTACCATATCGTCGTCGCCATTGCCCTTCTATTATATTATATTATTCAATTATATATTAATCATTTATATTTTGTATTCTTTTTTATACTTTTATAATTGTATTATATATATTATATAATTGTATATATTGTGTATTTTAAATTCTTTTAAATTTTGTTCGTACATTATCTTTTACACATTTATATTTTAAATTTTTTAAATTTTTCTTACAGTATCTTTTTTTTTTACACACTTTATATAATATACATTTATATTTTAAATTCTTTAAAATTTCTTTTGCACACTATGTATATAATACACATTTATATTTTGTATATTTTAAATTCTTTTGCACACTATATATAGGTATAATACACATTTTATTTTATTTTATTAAAAATTAATTAATTAATATAAAAAAATCTGATTTATTTTCCAAATTCCTCTCTCTCCCTCTCTTTTCATTGCTTCATTTATTACTAAATTATAAGAAAACTATTAAAAAATTATATTAAATTATCAAAAATATTTTTATTGCGTGATATCTCTTCTCTCACGTGCGCCGTATCACTCCTTCTGTCTCTTTCTTTCCTAGTGTTTACTCTCTCATGATAATTCTCTCGCAAGGAGCTATGCATGAAAGCTGGGACGGGAGAGCACACCAAAACGCAAAGAAAGTACACCATAATATAGATTTATAACTATTTATTCTGCTTATATATTTAGTATACAAATATAATTTTTGTCTTACATATTAAGAATTAAAAGCTAAAGCTGCCAGCTCGCAATCGACGAGTTGATGCTTGTTGAAAACATCACTCTCACGTATTACATATGATACTTCTTTCGGATCCGTTACAGTGGACGCGATATTGCAGAATTGCGTAAATTTAACATCAACTGTTTGGATAATTTTATCTAATCGATCAAAAGTTACATATATGCATTGATCGAGATCGAACATACGATGTAACGTCGATTCGACCATCATCATGCGTACATCCGAAGATTCGAGACTTATGAGTTTGACGTCGTTAATCGTACGAACTCTCACTGTTAGCGGTCCAACGCTGATGAAATTGTAGTCATCTTTAGAGTCGTTCCGAAATTTTGAATATTGCGACGTTGCTCGTAGAGTCCTTTCCACGTTTCGAGAAATAATATCAGTTCCTTTCCTCGATGATCTCCTATTGCAATCTCCACGTAACTCGGTGGACCCAAGTTGATACCAATTTCGAGGAATTTGAATTCCGTAGCTGTCAATGCGTATCGTCTACCTAGTATACGAGTTGCACGACGCCCCAACGAAATGCTATAGAAAAATTAAAATTAAATAATAGTAATAATAATAAAATTATAAAAATAGAAAAAAGTTAAATGAAACTTACTCATTACATTTTGTTCAAAACGCCCTCGCTAAAAGGAGCGAGGGTCCGAGCGATCATTCGGCGCCCCTGGCAGCCGTTAGCGCGACATCGCTTTGTCAGCGCAATTTAAAAACAGCGCTTGCCCTTCTCGAAAGATCCAAGGAAAATAAATAAATTCTTAACCGTTCGTTTTGAACATTTATATTAGTTCACGAAAAATCGGGATCTTTCGAGAAGGGCTCCGCTATAAATTGACGCGCTCGCGGAACACGGCGCTTCTTGGCTTAAAGGTACTCGACGCACTCACTTATTTTTCGATCACGAGAAAAAACGTTCTTCCGTTGCTCGCGGATTGAATCAGTCGTCTCCGTTGCTCGCGGATTCTGAAATCGCTTTCGCGTAATTAATTTAAGACTGTGTATTATAATTAGTGTTATAATTGTTATAATAAACTGACTATTATTGTTAAAAGACTTAGATTTATCGTCGAATTAATTTCTCTTCGTTTTCTCTCCTCGCGGATTTTTATCCTTCGGTTTCGCGCTTGCCTCCCGCGTCAATCTCGCATAAACTCTATCATTTGCTGGTCCTTCGAGCCGGAGATTTAGTGACCGGTTTTTCTACGACGCGGAGTGAGTGCGAAGTGTTGTGGTTCTCTGTGCTCCGAACACCAGTCACCTGAAATTCAGTCATCATGAGTCGCAAGGCCGAGTTGACAATCACCGCTGCAACGGATCTCTACGGCAAAATTGCCCGTACTCACGAGAACCTGATGAAGCTGGGCGCTGCCAAGATCACGGTGGGCGCAGTGGAGGCGCGATTGCAGTCCTTGGAAAGGTACTGGACGAAGTTCGACGCGCACAACGATGAGCTCTTGAATTATCTCGACCAAGTGGCCGATTCAGAGTACATAAGACTCGACATACCTGCTCTGGCTGAAGAGGCCTACCTCGCCAATAAGGGTCTGCTGTTGGACCTCCTGCGTAACCTCAAGACGGAAGAGAAGGAAGCTGGCACGAGAGGGTCAGAGCCGTCCTCACAAGCACCCCGCACGACTCTTCCGAGGATCCAGCTGCCTCATTTCTCCGGGAAGTACGAGGATTGGCCAGCCTTCCGTGATCTCTTCCAATCGCTAATCGGAAGGGACACTCTCACGTCCTCAGTCGAGAAGCTCCACTACCTGAAGACATGCCTGAAAGGAGAAGCAGAATTATTGATTCGAAGCCTGCCCACGACAACCGAGAATTTCGAACGCGCATGGGATGTTCTCGTTGCTTACTATGAGAACAAGCGGCTCCTGGTGCGCAGTTACATCTCCCAGTTTACGTCACTCCAGAAGCTGAAGAGCGAGTCCGTGGTGGAACTGCGCAAACTTTGCCACAGCGTGAAGAGCACGGTAGGATCACTGGAGAGCATTGGGCGCCCGATCACGAAGGGTGAAGATCTTTTCGTGCACCTCGTCGTTGACCTGCTTGATCCTCGATCTCGCCGCGAGTGGGAGAATTTCATTAGTGATTCCAACGATCCACCCTCGTACGACAAACTCCAGCTCTTCTTGGATCGTCGGCTGCACACTTTAGAATCGTTGCAGCCTGTCAAGGTCGAAGCCATTTCTTCTAAACCGCATCCAAGTCCGACACAGAAGACTCGCACTCTTCACACGCGTAAGCAGGACAGTAAGCGAGGTCGCTGCTCCCTATGCGGTCAGGATCACTATATTATGTTCTGTGACCTTTACCAGAGCAAGACGGCGGAGGAAAGGAAGCGTCACGTCGAGGCGAACGACTTGTGCCTGAACTGCCTAGGAAGGCACAAGGTAAGCGAGTGTTCTTCTCAAAAGACTTGTTCGTCGTGTCGCGCGCGTCACCACACGACCCTCCACGAGGCATGTCCGTCCGGCGAGAGCGCTAAGACGTCACACTTAGCGCAACACAAAGTCGAGGCGACGACGACAGTTCTCCTCGCTACCGCGCGCGTTCGCGTCCTGGACCGGTTCGGCCGCGCTCACACTGCACGCGCACTAGTTGACCAGGGCTCGGAGTCCTCGCTAGTTTCCGAAGCTTTGGCCCAACGTCTTCGCCTAGGTCGGTCTCCTACCTCCGTCGCCGTGTATGGAATCGGCGGCAAGCAGACGGGCCTCGCCCGCGGTCAAGTCACTCTTCAGATCCGCTCCCTGCGCGACGGGCCTTTAATAAGCGTGGCCGCCTTGGTTTTCCCCCGGCTCACACTTTATGAAGGCGGAATCAAGGCCAATCGTCGGGCGTGGACGCACGTCCATGGGCTGGAGCTCGCCGATCCGGACTTCTTGGCGACGGATCCCATAGACATCCTTCTAGGAGCAGACGTCTACGCCATGATCCTCCAGGCTGGACTTCGACGAGGGAAATCACGGGAACCTGTGGCACAAAAGACGGCGCTGGGCTGGATATTGTCTGGGGCCGTCGGTACGACGTCCACATCGCGCCATGCGTCAGCACATCACTGCCTGGTCGAGGAAGACCTAGGCGCTCTCGTACAAAGGTTCTGGCAGCAAGAAGAGCTACCCGACGCCGCGGTAGCTCTCTCACCCGCGGATCAACAGTGCGAGAACTTCTTCCGCCAGACACATTCGCGGTCCGCGGACGGTCGGTACGTCGTACGTCTGCCGGTCGTTGCCCCGCTGCCAGACTTCTCGGTGACGCGCTCCACGGCTTTACGAGTTCTCTTCAGCATGGAGAGACGTTTCGCTCGGGATCCTCCTTTTCGAGCCCTCTATGCCGACTTCATGCGGCAGTATGAGGACCTGCGTCATATGTCTTGCGTGACTCCGGACGCTACGTCGCGCAGACCGGTGCATTACTTGCCGCATCACGGCGTGCTGCGGAAGAACAGTGTCACCACGAAGCTGCGCGTAGTTTTTAACGGCTCCACGCCAACTACTTCGAAAAGAACCCTCAACGATCACTTGATGGTGGGTCCGAACTTGTTGCCTCCGCTCGCCGACGTGCTACTCCGTTGGCGACGGCACCGCTTCGGTCTAGCCACCGACGTCGAAAAGATGTTCCGACAGATCTTGGTACACCCGGATGACAGGGATCTGCAAAGGATCCTGTGGCGGGATTCCCCGCAAGACAGCCCTGCCGAGTACCAGCTGAGCACAGTGACCTACGGCCTAGCGTGTGCTCCGTTTCTAGCGATGCGCGCTCTCAGGCAATTAGCTGAGGACGAGGGTAAGCAGTACCCTCTAGGAGCGGCCGTTCTCCTGCGAGATGTCTACATGGACGACATCTTAACCGGAGCAGCGACGATGGCGGAGACCCAGGAGATGTGCAAACAGCTGTCCAGTATCTGCATGGCGGGCGGCTTCCCTCTCCGGAAGTGGTCAGCCAGCGACTCAGCGGTGATCTGGGATATCCCGCCGGAGCACCAGTTGCAGCGCGAGACCCGTGACTGGCGACCACACGAGGCTCACTCCACCTTAGGACTGCAGTGGCACCCCGCCACGGACGATTTCTCTTTCGCCACCCGGCACATCGCACTGCCATCCGTCACCAAGAGGTCTGTACTGTCTCTGGTGGCGCAGCTATTCGACCCTCTCGGCTGGCTAGCACCGGTCGTGGTCCGCGCCAAGATTGCCTTCCAATCGACTTGGCTTCAAGGACTTGAGTGGGACGCTCCGCTCGACGACGCCTCCGCGTCAGCCTGGGTCACCTTTCACGCCCAGATACCAGTACTCGAGCAAATCCGAGTACCTCGCTGGATTAATCTGGGTCCTTCTTGCACCCGCGTCGAGGTCCATGGCTTCTCCGACGCCTCAGAACGAGCATATTCCGCCGTCGTGTACCTAAAAACATGGTCAAACGACTCGTGGATTGTCCGCCTAATCACCGCGAAAACAAAGGTCACACCGCTCAAACAGGTGTCCTTACCTCGTTTGGAGTTAAGCGCCGCCGTCCTTCTCTGCCGACTAGCCAAACACGCCTTGACAATCCTCGACCTGACTGCGCCGCTTCACCTATGGACGGACTCCACCGTCGCGCTGGGCTGGATCCGCGGCCACCCATCCAGGTGACAAACCTACGTCGCGAACCGCGTCTCAGAGATTCAGAGGACCACTCCGCAGGCTGCGTGGCATCACGTTCCAGGCCAGGACAACCCAGCGGACTGCGCTTCCCGAGGTCTCTCTCCCAAGGAACTGCAGAGCCATCCTCTGTGGTGGCAAGGTCCGCCTTGGCTACGCTTAGACGCCACCGCATGGCCGACCGCCGTCGGCCACATCCCCGAAGAGCACCTGCCGGAGAAGCGCACACGAGTCCATGTCAAAGCCACAGCAGCGCCGATGAGCGAGGCCGCCGAGCTGGTGCGGTTCTCCTCCCTGAAGAGGCTCCTACGCGTGACAGCCTGGTGTCGGCGGTGGCTGAGAGTAAGAGAGGATCGGTCCACTGGCACTCAACAGCGCTTCCCCAGTACTTTGTCCGCAGAGGAGATAGAGAGAGCTCGAGTTTGTTGGATCCGGCGAGTACAATCTGAAAAATTCAGGGCCGAGTTAAAATTAATAAGTCAGGGCCTTGCCTTAAGTAAATCAAACTCACTTGCTCGCTTTAGTCCCTTTTTAGGTACCGAGGGTCTCCTGCGAGTCGGGGGTCGACTCAAGCACTCCATCCTAGCCTATGACGAGCGTCACCCCGTCCTCCTGCCGAAGGGCTCGCACCTCACTCGGCTAATTGTGGACGACTGCCATAAACGAGCGTTGCACGGCGGAACACAGCTCACTCTCTCATTAATCCGCCAACATTATTGGATTCCACGGGGTCGAGCACTGGTCAAGGAGGCTATCCTGCGATGTCTCCCTTGCGTGCGATGGCGGGCGGCGACACCACAACAGCTGATGAGCGATCTTCCACGGGAGCGCGTGGTACCAGCGAGGCCCTTCCTTCACACTGGGGTCGATTATGCCGGGCCGATTCAACTTCGCACAACCAAGGGGCGCGGACACCGCTCCTACAAGGCCTTCGTAGCGGTCTTCGTCTGCCTTGCTTCCAGAGCCGTACACCTCGAAGTAGTCTCCGACTACACGGCCGAGGCCTTCCTTGCGGCCCTCAGGCGGTTCGTCTCCCGCCGAGGCATCTGTCGCAGCCTTCGAAGCGACTGCGGGACAACCTTCGTGGGAGCCGATTCCCAGCTGACAGCCCTCTTCACCGCGGGCACGCCAGAAAACCACCGGATCATCGACAGCCTCGCCTCCGAGAGGATCGAGTGGAGGTTCAATCCTCCCTCAGCGCCGCACTTCGGAGGCATTTGGGAAGCCGCAGTCAAGTCGCTCAAACACCATCTCCGACGAGTGATTGGCGACGCCAAGCTGACGTTCGAGGAGATGAGTACCTTCCTCACTCAGGTAGAAGCGTGCCTTAATTCGCGGCCGCTGCAGGCACTCTCGGACGACCCTGAGGACTTGGCTGCGCTGACGCCTGGACACTTCCTGGTGGGAGCCGCCCTGACTGCAGTGCCCGAGCCGTCCTTGCTGGATGAACCAACGTCCCGCTTATCTCGCTGGCAGCTCCTGCAAAAAATGAGAGACCATTTTTGGGAACGATGGTCGAAGGAGTACCTCCACTCCATTACTCACCGTCCTAAGTGGTTGCGCGAAGAGACGGGCTTCAAGGTCGGCCGACTTTGCCTCATCCGGAACGAACTCACACCACCCACGAAATGGCCACTCGCGCGTATCGCGAAAATCCACCCCGGAGAGGATGGTCAAGTTCGCGTAGTGACATTGCGCACCGCAGCCTCCGAGTTGGTACGACCCGTCGTGAAGCTCGTCGTGCTCCCCATCAACGGTCATGGAGATCACGAGCCTCCATCGCAGTAGTTCGGAGCTCCCAACGAGCTGCATATCCTCCGCTAGCCATTCTTTTCGCCAAACGCTCTTGGCGAGGCGGGCGGAAATGTTCAAAACGCCCTCGCTAAAAGGAGCGAGGGTCCGAGCGATCATTCGGCGCCCCTGGCAGCCGTTAGCGCGACATCGCTTTGTCAGCGCAATTTAAAAACAGCGCTTGCCCTTCTCGAAAGATCCAAGGAAAATAAATAAATTCTTAACCGTTCGTTTTGAACATTTATATTAGTTCACGAAAAATCGGGATCTTTCGAGAAGGGCTCCGCTATAAATTGACGCGCTCGCGGAACACGGCGCTTCTTGGCTTAAAGGTACTCGACGCACTCACTTATTTTTCGATCACGAGAAAAAACGTTCTTCCGTTGCTCGCGGATTGAATCAGTCGTCTCCGTTGCTCGCGGATTCTGAAATCGCTTTCGCGTAATTAATTTAAGACTGTGTATTATAATTAGTGTTATAATTGTTATAATAAACTGACTATTATTGTTAAAAGACTTAGATTTATCGTCGAATTAATTTCTCTTCGTTTTCTCTCCTCGCGGATTTTTATCCTTCGGTTTCGCGCTTGCCTCCCGCGTCAATCTCGCATAAACTCTATCACATTTGTTTTCAAACGATGAAGTTTTATTACGACTCGGCACGTAATTATTATTCACGCGTCTTCCGACGTCGCTGCCGCTACTGCTTCTTTCGACGTAGTACATTTCTTTGAAGGTTATGAAAAGTGAACCACGAGCGGTTAACGCGAGACTGATCGTACAGGAATTAACCGGGTATACGTGACGCTCATCTTCCAAAAGTATAATGTGGTGGGGGGATCAATGCTTCTAACGCTTTGAATTTTAGGAGAAGAGTGAAATAACGCTCAGATAAAATATTTTTAGAAACGCAAGCAAAGGTCTAGGGAGGGGGGAAATAAGAGATAAAACACATATTAATGTTTACATATTTGTTTTATTTTCTTGCAATTCTTTCTGGCGTTGCGACCACCAGTTAAATATTTTAAATACATTTTGTAATGCGCAATTCTTAACATGTTTTCCACATCGCATACTATTGATAATATCTAATTTATTTAAAGCATCAATATCTTCGTAATCTGCATCCAAGGTTTCAATAATATAGCCATTCCCCGCATCGTCTAGTATATCGGTCAACCATTTTAGCTTTTCAAGTCCTATAACGTATACGATAGACGATTCTTCTTCTTCTTCTTCTTCTTTGTGTATTGTACTAACGACAGCTGTTGTAATTGCACGCTAAGCCAAACCATACGGAACGTTTCCGTCTTCCCATTGTAATCCGTGATGATTTTTAATCAACCATGAGACTTGACAGCGCTTAGATTTTGTAAGCACGCTCCACGGTACGGGACTTGCGAAAAAGTAATGCGATAGAACGTATCCCTTTCTCAAGACTGCCGCTTCCTTCACGACAAAATTTTTCCCAACGATAAATCCTTGCAGATCCACAAACGTTGGTACGGACATGATGAGATCTCTCTCTCTCTCTTCGATACGTCAGTCGAGAGGAATAACAAAACTCTAAAACCATCTCGCAACACTTTGATTTATATCATGCTCCTCTTCCCCCTCTCTCTTGTGTCGATGTTCGAAATCGCCTAGGTGATTTTGCGTACAACGTTGGTCAACGGATTGTACTGAATCACGCGATCGTGTATGATGAGACAGTACGCAGTGGTATTCGGCAGCACGTTCTCCTTACACTCGAATTCCAATCTCACATCCACGGTCGCGCTCTTGACCGATTCGTTTTGTCGAGAACAATCGATAATCATGAACGGACCGTGTTGTAGAAACTTCAGGACGGTGAGACTCGGCTCGAGATACTCGTGTCCGTAATAATTCTTGCAGAAGCGTGCGTATGTTTCATACAGAATGGCATATCTACTTTTTTCGAAATCCAGATTCATATCGTCGTACGGATAATATTCCGAATTCAGATAGAGTTTCACGTTGATTAAATTACAGTCGTCGAATGCACCCACATCCTTTGACATGTCATTCTTCCGACCTGTCTGCAGAGCGAAGATAACGTATCGTGGTTTCTCTAGCTGAGTCGCAGTCTTAATGGCCCACGAATGCTTGGTTGTAAACTGCAATAGCGGATACAGATTCCACGAGCGAAAAGCCATGCTGAGATATCGTCCGCTTTCCAGAGCACGCAGCATCGACAACTTTTTGATTTCGCTTAACAGCACGTGAGGCATTCGCCATTGTATCTTGAATATGTCGATCACAGGCTCCTGCACCGAACTTCCAAACAGACAATTGTTGTCGTTGCGTGATCGTATCAAGATTAATTCGTGACGAGCGTTAATCACCACGCATCTGTAATCCTCGCAAAATCCCAGCAACATGTAGAGCGGTACGCAAAAATTGAAATGTCCATGCGTGTAGGTAGACGTCTCCCAGCCGGCATTTTTCAAAATCACGTGTCTATCGGTTGATGCTGTTGCATAGTTTTTGAGCATAGTAGTTATTCCTACGTTTCTATTGCGATCAATCTCAACACCGTCGAGTTCGTATCGAATCTTATCGAACATGAATGCGATGCAATTTTTTCCCAGTAACACTTCATTTTCTCTTCCAGCTTGTGGTTTGTTTTTTGTTAGTTTTCCCTCGATGTATAGGAAACTCTCATGCGGCAGCGTATACAGATCCTATTGTTGTATGGGTATTCTTATCTCGTCATTGTGTCCGAACATTGTATTGGCGAACGGGTTGTACGTGTGAGTCTCGATCTTGACGATACGATCGTCAAAGATAGGTTCGTCACCGATGTTGAGGATGTCGGTCATCGTTCAGCTGTTTCGCACCGCAAATCCCAAAGATTGCAAAAACGCAACGTTCGATGTGTTGAGTTTCTTTTCCTCGGATGATTGGATATTAGCGAACGTCGATGTTGTTGTTGTTGTTGTTGTTGTTGTTGGTGTCACTGATTTCATAAAGATTGTGTTATCTCTCACATCTTTCGATCCGTTCAACACGAGCATCTCATACGTCGCATACGTACGTTATCGCTGCAACCGTCGTACGTGCAATCTTACGGTGATCTCTTCTCCTCGAAAATCGAGCAATCGTCCGTTTTGGTCGACAACGCGTAACGTTAAATCCGTAATGCTCCGCGCGATGATCGGCAGGTAAATGATCTGCGCTGGCGTTTCCGATATCTTATATCCCGGCGGTACCCTCGGTGAAAATTCATGTATCGTATGAACGAATTTGCCGTTGTTGTACGCGCCCGCGGTCACGTTACATTCTACGCGGATAATATTAACGTTGATAATGTTAATCGGCATGTTCGATTCGTACCATTTTCCCGACTCGAGAATACGATTCGAGAATCCTAGCAGCGATCCAATGTTACCGGGTTTGCTAAAGTTTAATCTGTATGCGCATTTAATCTCGCTCCTCATCGTATTGTAATTAGTGCGGAACACTATCGGATATTCGTCATCTTCATTGACACCGTCGTCATCTTCATTGACACCGTCGTCAATGTGTTTCGTATTGTAATTAGTGCGGAACACTATCGGATATTCGTCATCTTCATTGACACCGTCGTCAATGTGTTTCGTATCGCGATGTTGTCGTGAAATTATACGTTTCAAAAATTCATGTATATCTCGCAACTCGTACGATCCCTCGGGAATCGTAATTTCCGCGTCGTCTTTGCCAAAGTAAAATTTATTATTCGAGGAATTCACATTCGGTATTGTGTGATAAGTTTCAAAATCCGTTAGACCGAGTTCGTATGCATCGTCGCCCAAATCTACGGCGGGAAAGAAATTTGCCGTGAGAACGCTACTCTTCCCACTCAACGTGAATGTCATAGACATGTCGGCAAAACTGTTTAACGAATACTGAGTTAAATAGCGCAATATCAGTCTTTAAATTCGCACGCATCGACCGTTCGAAGAAACTGCAAGCACAATTGTCTACATATGCTCTGATCGTAAGTTTGAACAGGTGTGTAATTGTACTGTATCTTCGTTACGTTTCGTCCGAAATATCGCACCAGTTCATTCGGTGATCGAAGATTGCCGAAACTGTCGAAATATATAACGCGATTTCCCCTCTTTGCGTACGCTATCCAATGAGTACCTGGTCCTTCGACGCTATCCAAATTTACGATGCCGCTCTCGTTTTGATAAATACAACCGATCGGTAAAGAGTTGCGCATGAAAATACCTCTAAAATATGGAATACGTTTTGCCAGTTGCAGCAATTGTATGTTGGTAGTTGCACCCTGCGGCATTTTTAGCGTCTCTTTGACGTTTTTTTTTTTTCTCGGTGAAGCTCCTCGTCCGTGTTTGTAAGGAGCGAGATATAATCCACGACCTTCCATGGCGTGATTGTGACGTAGCATCTCCTGCAACTGACGTTGCGCGGCTTTTCTGTCGTTCACCACCTTCGCTACACCAGCTCCACCGATCAGGGATCCGAGCGCTCCCAACATTGGTAGAATCGGCAATATGCCGCCGCATTTCGGTACCGGAAGTATCCGTTTCTTCACCGTTCTTTTCTTCGTCTTCGTTGTCTTCAGACCCATACCGAGCTTCGTCTTAGCTTTCATTGCTGTCCAGACAGCTGTAGCGGCGGCTCTCTCACCGAGAGTCGAATCTCTCGCAACGATGCGCTTTCTCGGCGAGTATCCTATCCGCAGCGTGTCTCTCGGTGAGATCGTTGCTTCGAGAGTATGCTATATCGTGTTCGCGACACGCCGCGTCCAAGGGATTTATACTTCGATCACCTCTGGCTAATCGCTTCTCCAACCGTGTACCTGGCCCGCAAAACTGATAGCCGGGAATATGTAATTCGATCGGAAGTGCGTTTATCGCGTGATTTAATAGGCCTCTACCTATTTTCGTTGACATTCGCTGCAATTCTTTATCAATGGCGCCGGACCGTCGATGTGCGTTTCCTGCCACGGCTGATTGTAGTGTTTGTAACAGCGACGATACGTCTGAACCTCCGGATCCGCCTTTATATATTCTGGAAGCTTGTCCCACACGTAGTGAACGTGATCATCGCACATTCGCAACAGAACTGCTTTCGATACAAATTGTAGCTGTTCGACGCTCAAATCGCAAATGTCGGAAGGACTTGATAGCAGAATGAACATTTTTTCTCCACTGAGCGACTCGTGATTTCGCGCACCTATAAATAGGCAGGCGTTCAATCCAATCAACAGTGTTGAAAAAAATGAGATTCGTACGACAACCTTTGACGATTTACGTGAGAAATTGCGATAACAGATTACGATTAATGGGGGACAACGCGGAGATGCGCAGGCACGGTACGATGCTACCGACTACTATACGGACCTACGGATCATATGCGGACCCTCGAATTGTGGTAAAACCAACGTTCTGATAAGTCTACTGGAAAGTCCGCACGGTGTACGTTTCGAGAATGTGTACGTGTATTCGAAGTCGTTGCAACAGCCAAAATATCAATATCTGGAGAATTTGTTGACGCCGATCGACGAAATCGGCTACTTTACGTTCTCGAATAACAGTGACATCATTCCACCGAGCGAGGCACATCCAAACTCGATTTTCGTCTTCGATGACGTGGCGTGCGACAAGCAAGATACGATAAGAGAGTACTTCTCAATGGGTCGTCCCTCGAACGTCGACTGCTTCTATCTTTGTCAGACGTACGCGAGAATACCAAAACATCTTATACGCGACAACGCGAACCTGCTGATCTTGTTTAAACAGGATGGTACCAACTTGAAACACGTGTACAACGATCATGTGAATACCGACATGTCGTACGAGGATTTCAGTGAATTATGTCGTACTTGTTGGCAACAAAAGTATGGATTCCTAGTGATAGATAAGGACAGCTCGCTTACGAACGGGCGATACAGAAAAGGATTTAACGTGTTCGCGATACCGCAAAACGATTAGCCGCTGCCAACATTTTGTCGAGAAGGGTGAAACGCTCGACATTCCGTCAACATGGCTGAAAGCGATAATATTCGTGAGCGTGAAAAGATTGCGAAGGAGATTGAGAAAACGAGCGAATCGATCCGTAAGAAACATCGCGCTTTAAAGACCGGTAAGATCGACGACGATATCGCGGTTAAGACCCATTTTAGACCTATTATCGAGCCACTACAAAAAATCGCCGACAACTCTAGCTTTATCGCGATGAAAAATGAGCCGGAGAGTAACGCTGACACTATAATTAAAACATTACCCATCAAGCGGTATAAGGAGAAAGAGGAGGAGAAGGAGAAGGAGGAAGATGCGACACCGAAAAAGACGAAACGATTGAAGGCTAAATGTTTATTGACGCCGCGTACATTGGATGAACCGTTGCTAACCTCTACACCGCTGATAACCTCCACACCGTCCGGGACAACGAGAACCGTACAATCCAGGATACCCAAATTACTTGATGAGATTAAAGACGTTCTCGAAAAATCCCAAAAAAACCTGTTTCAAGAGGAAGTTTTCGAAACCACGGGCAACCCGCTCGAAACATCCGTTCGAAACAGATTACAAACGTCGGAAGGTCAAGAAGTGTTGCGAGAACACTTGGGATCACTGGGACAAAAATACATAGGTGCTCTTCTTAGCGGTGACGAAAGAAAAAACACGATCGATCACGTGTACGGCGTCTATTTCGACGAGAATGGAATGCGTCTCGGTAACAAACGATTCGACATTGACAAAGATGACTTTATAATCATAGACAAAGTGAGGTATATTGGTACACCAGGATTATACGAGTTGATCTTCAAGAGAATTCCCGACGATGTCATATACACTGAGGACGATATGCAAAAATATAAGAGCATATTGATGACGATGAGTGCTCATAAACGTCAATATGATGCGCAAGGTCAATTAAAGAGCAACAAGGGATACAAGTATAAACAAATAATCGCACCATTGATGTCGATCGAATCGAAAAAGAAAAAAACGGGAACGGGAGTATTCACGCCTCGCGCGATGACGCTAACCGACAATAAGATCGATTACGTGCACTGGGACGATCCCAACGAGTTAGTGGATCGCCTACGATTGCTCGACGCTTCACGCCGAGCTGGTCACAACGCTCACGACAACGAGATCCTGTCGATCATAGAGGAACTTCGCGAAGCTGGCCTTATTATAAATTAAATGGTGTCTCGACAAAACTAATCAGTCGATCGACGTTACTCACATCGAAAAAAAAATGCCTATTAACAAATTTGGATTATTCGAACGGAGAAATGAAGAAATCTACACAAGCGATCATTGGAGTAAATTGGTGACAAGTTACTTGCGTCGAAACGCTCTGTGTCGCGTCGCTACGGACTATGACGCGAGGTCGCGCAAGATTCGTCGTGTAGCGCAACCTGAGGCTGATACCGATGCAGTCAACAAACTGTATGTGGAACAATATGTGGAACAATATGTTAAAACGTTGAAGAATCAATAGAAAGAATCAGACGAGAAGCTGATTGCGTTCGAGAAGGATATGCGAGCTTCGCAGATTGCGATAAACGAACTTCGACGTGCGATTAACACTAATTCAGAAACGGCTATCAACCTATAATGAGCTGTAGCGAACAGTTTAGGAGCAGCTATTGTACAATTATTAAACATCTACAAAGGCTTATCGAACGGCTACGAAGGATTATCGAACTACAATGAGTGACAGCGATCGAAGAGGAAACGACCTCGAACGGGTCAGCAACGGCTATTGAACGGCTGTCGAACGGCAGTGAACGGCTAAAGAGTGACAACGAATAATAAAACGCATGGTGATACGTATCGTTTATTTGATCGACGAATCAAAACAACGATGGATCGACGATTGGGAATAATCGAGGAAGCGAAGAAACAACATAGTTTAGAGAAACGGCAGTTGGTGAATGAACTGCACGCACCGGCGAGAAAATATTTCCCTCGAAGACACGTCATAGTGCGGGGATATGATGACCTGCGGCAAGCCGACATCGTCGAGATGCGTCCGTACTCTCGTTTCAACAGAGGTTACAACTACATACTCACTGTCATCGATGCGTTGAGCAAGTACGCGTGGGCCGTACCACTCAAGAGTAAAGGTGGAAGCGAGACAGCTGACGCTATCGCCGAGATAATTCGAGATAGCAAGAGGTGTCCCAAAAATATACAGACCGATATGGGGAAGGAATTTTATAATGTCGACGTGCAACGGCTCATGCGAAAACACGACATCAATCATTATTCTACATATTCGACATTAAAGGCATCGATCGTTGAGCGATTCAATCGCACGCTGAAAAACGACATGTGAAAGATGTTTACGCTAAACGGATCTTATAAGTGGATCAACGTGTTGCCGGAACTCGTATCGAATTACAACGCGCGCAAGCATCGAACGATCGGTATGCGGCCCGTCGACGTTACCCCCGCGATCGCTGAAAGACTCTTGGCTACTGTGTACAACCATGTAAATATCGCTACTAAACTCGGTACTAGTAAACTCGGTACGCGTTAGCAAGTACAAGACAGTTTTCGAGAAAGGTTACACGCCAAATTGGACAACCGAGGTGTTTAAAATTATAAAAGTGCAGCATAGTAATCCCACAGTATATACAGTAGCGCAACTCTCCCAATTTTGTGTAGCATAAAATGAAATGCGCATGCGTGAAGTCAGCGAGTATACCAGTACTGCCATCTGTACTTTTCTCTCACTTTCCCCTTTGATTTTCGCTCTCCCTCTTTCTCTTTCTTGGCGGTAAAATCACATCTGTGTTTAAATCACAGTTTAAATGCTCACTGATCTCAGTATTAAATGCCGGCATAAATATTTGTCAGCAACAATTACGCGAGTGAAGTGAGAATACGTGATTAGAGGTGCAAATTAAGCGAGAAGTGGTGAAGTGGTGAAGTGGTGAAGTGGTGAAGTGAAAAAATTATTTGTGTGTAGAAGCTTTCCTGAAGAGGATAGTTAACCTATTTATTTATATAGGTTTTCAATTCTCTTGTTAGGAAATTTTTGCACCTTGATCTTAGCTTCTTTTTCAGGTGCTGTTTGGTGATCCGGAAGGCCTAAGGGAAACATGGACAAGAAAACCAAACAATGGTGCGCAGTGCCAGGATGTATGAGTTTTATCAACTTAGAAAAACGGCACTTTTTTAGATTTCCAAAGGAATATGACAGGTATGATAATGTTTTAATTATTATTTATAAAATATGTAATTTAATTATATATATATTTTCATATATATGTATATTTTCATATTTTTAAAGTAAATAATATATACATATCATATACTTTTATATTTATGAATTTTCATTACACTTTACAGGTGGTTGAAATGGATAGACGCATCAAAAAGGATGGATTTAAAATTGAAAGGGCCAAAGTACGCATACCAAAATTGTACACTATGCCACTTGCATTTTGAGGACAAGTGGCTTATAAAAAAGGCTGTCATTCGTTTACATCCTGATGCTGTACCTACCATATTTTTTGGTCCAGCTTTTCAAAAGGAGTAAAGTTTTATTAATATAATTTATATAATTGTTAAATATTTTATTTTTAATAATAACATTATTTTGTTATATTATGATAACTGTATATATGTATACACACACACACACACACACACACACACACATATATATATATATATAGAAAGAGAGAGAGAGTATTATAATATATATTGCTTTCATAGAAATACAGAAATAGAAGGAAGGACAGAAGGAGCAAGTATTACAACATTGGAGAAGCAACAAGAAGCAACAAGAAATGAAATGGAAGAAGCGGAAAAGACACCAGCAGTACAAGAAGGAAGTAAAAGGTAATGATAATAAAAAACAATATTCTTGTTATTTCAAATAAAAATAACATAATGTAATAATTGTATAAAATTTTTCAGTAATGTCCAAACAAAGGAAATGGACATCCAAACAGAAGATCAAATAGATGACAAAGATAAAGATAAACAGTAAGTTTTTCTTTATTATAAAATATTAGTTTTGCGATATACATACATACATATATATATACAGGGTCTACCAAAAGTGTGGAAACCCCTAAATATCTCGGAAAATATACGTTTTACAGAAAAGTGTTTCCAACAAAAGTTGTAGGGTTTAAGAAGATCTATATACTGATTCTATCAGTTTGACCTTGGATGGCGTCGTCAAGGTCAGGTCAAGGTCACATTGACTTTTTTAAATGACACCCCCTACATTTGATTGCATATTCTTATAGCTTAATTCAAGAGCTTTCCAAAACACTATAATAATGTTCATTTTTATTAAGTACTTTGCGAGTTATGAGGGTTGAATGATAGAGTAGCGCCGGTATTAACATTATCCAAGGTGTACTACATGGAGGTTACTCGCTCGGATTTGCATCTGTTGTGTGTGTGATCCAGCTAACTAAGGCAAGATCGGTCGTGGATCCAGTCAGCAAAAGCAAAGACCCAACCAAATTACAATCGAGCATTTAAAGACCTGGAAAGCAATCGACATAGTAAACAGTAAATAAATTTGTGGATGCTCATTTATCATAATAATTGTTCGAAATGTGTGCGTGTGCGTGCGTGCGGTGCGTGTATACAGAGATCAGGTTAGGTTGCACCAAACGATTGCAAATGTGTTTCAATGTGTTAAAGTAAATGCTGAAAGTGGCTGCCATTTACTTCCTGACAATATGCTAATCTTTGGTAGAATGTAGAAATGACTTTACGATTCGTTTCAAAAGGTATCAAAGCCATTTCATCCCTTATTCGCTGTATCAATTCGTGAATGGTTTTAGGTTTTGTTCTGTAAACCTTACTCTTCAGATATCCCCATAGATAATAATCAAGAGGAGTTAGATCTGGTGACCGAGGTGGCCAATCCTCTCCTCCCTCATTTCCGTTCCTTCTTCCTATCCACCATAGCGGAAAAGTCTCATTTAAAATACGACGTGGTCCTGCACCAAAATGAGCAGGAGCTCCATCATGCTGAAACCATATTTCTTGGAAATTATTTGGAAAAGTATTCTGTATGGCTGGAATTATTTGATCAACAAGTAATCTCTGATACCTTTGAGCGTTCAAATATTCTTCAAAAAAAAACGGCCCTATTAAATAGCCATCTATTATTCCGCACCATACATTTATTTTTTGTGGATGTTGTGTGTGAGTTTCCCGCACCCAATTCGGATTCTCATCTGACCAGAAACGAAAATTTTGATTATTAACTTCTCCCGTTAAGGTAAAAGTTGCCTCGTCTGTGAAAACAATTTGATAAGGGAAGATGGGCCGGACATCTATTAGTGCCATCATTCTTTCACAGAAATGTATACGACGCTCCTCATCTCCGTTTTGCAATTCTTGAACGTATTGCAATTTATATGGATGGAACTTGTTCTTCTTTAAAATTCTCCAAACCGACATGGGAGCAATATCGTGAGTTTGAGCGACTCTCTGAACACTAGAATTGGGATCTTCAATAAATGTCTGCAGAACATCAAGTTTTTTTTCTTCGTTGGTTGCAGACAATGGTCTTCCTGACTTAGAGCGATTTCTTACGCTACCAGTTTGTCTAAAACGTTCTATTGTTTTTAACACAGTGGACTTATTAATTCGACGGTTCGGATACGTGTCATTAAATAATCGAACGACATCAGAGAACGATCTTTCGTTATCACCCCATCCACGCATCATGAGGATAGTGATTCTTTCACGTTCCGACAAGTCGCCAGCCATTTTTAAAACGTTTAATTTTAATTAATCGTACGTTGTATTTGGACGATAACAATTAATTTCTGCTTGCTCAAAGCTGAAGTTAGAAGGTGCTCGTTCTTTGATAGCTTTATACATTCTTAGTTGAATTTTAAATGCGAGTTAGACTGCATGTAGTGCGTCACATAGCGGTAAATGAAGGAACTAACGAGACGTTTCATACACGTTTTATGGAGCAATTTTTTGGCAATTTGACTTCAGCGAAATATGAGGATATGTTGAGGAATCGATCTTGCCTTAGTTAGCTGGATCACACACACAACAGATGCAAATCCGAGCGAGTAACCTCCATGTAGTACACCTTGGATAATGTTAATACCGGCGCTACTCTATCATTCAACCCTCATAACTCGCAAAGTACTTAATAAAAATGAACATTATTATAGTGTTTTGGAAAGCTCTTGAATTAAGCTATAAGAATATGCAATCAAATGTAGGGGGTGTCATTTAAAAAAGTCAATGTGACCTTGACCTGACCTTGACGACGCCATCCAAGGTCAAACTGATAGAATCAGTATATAGATCTTCTTAAACCCTACAACTTTTGTTGGAAACACTTTTCTGTAAAACGTATATTTTCCGAGATATTTAGGGGTTTCCACACTTTTGGTAGACCCTGTATATATATATATATATATATATATATATATATATATATATATATTAAAGGATTTTTTGCCAAATTTTTTTTCTTCAATGTCTAATTTACATTACATATAAATACATTTGTGTATTTTGCAGAAGCACATCTAACATCATGCATACGGGGAAGAAAAAAATCATTGGATGATAGTCCTCGCAAAAGAAAACTACGCATGCAAGTTGTAAAATTGAAGAAGCAGAACAACAAGTTGCGGCAAATGGTTCGACGGCTTCGATTGAAAAAAGAAAAACAGAAGAAGAACCAAACGGAAAATGTAGACATCAACGAAGGAACCAGCGATGCCAACAATATTCTACGATTAGGTGGTAAGCTATTTCCGGGACATTTTGTACAATTATTGTCTGCGCAGATCGATGCTTTGACCAAAAACAAACGTGGAAGGAGATATGATTCCGATTTCAAGCAATTTGCATTATCATTATTTTTTTCAAGTCCGCGTACTTATAGAGAATTGCTGAAAAGTTTCGCTTTGCCTTCTGTTCGTTGTCTTCAATTATTCACACAATCTTGGAATATAGTACCTGGAATAAATGATAAAATTTTTGAAGTATTAAGTATAATAATGCAATCATTATCATCAATGGAAAGACATTGTGTATTATGCGTTGATGAAATGAGTTTGAAAGCTCACTTATTTTATAATATATCGCAGGATGATACAATTGGATTTCAAGATACAGGTATTGAAAAATCACATCAGCCTGCGAAAAGTGCTTTAGTCATAATGGCACGAAGCATTGCTGGAAATTGGAAATTTCCCGTTTGTTTTTGTTTTGTAGAAACATCATGTCAAAGTGTCATTTTAAAAAATATTATATTTAATATTATTATTAAGTTGCGAAATTGTGGTGCTGTTGTGCATGCGTTAATAACAGATATGGGATCTAATTTTATACAGTTATCCCGTGAATTAGGAATTTCGAGAGAAAATTCAACTTTTTTAGTTAATGAGGAGGAAGTAATTTATATTTTTGATACTCCTCATTTAATAAAGGCTACCCGTAATAATTTATTAAAATATAACTTTCAATTTAATAATAAAATTGCTTCATGGAGTCATATAGTTGATTTTTATAACAAAGATTGTAAACAATGGATAAAAATGGCTCCTAATTTAACTAAATGTCATCTTGAACCGAATTCCTTTCAACGAATGAAAGTTAAATATGCTGTTCAAGTATTTAGTAATCGGGTAGCTGCAGGAATGTGCACGCTAATGTCTTATGGTTTTCTTTCAAATGAAGCACTTAGCACAATAGATTTTATTGAAAAATTAGATAAATTATTTAATATATTAAATTCATCTGCATTAAATAATCCAAAAGAATATGGAAAAGTTTTCACGGGTAGCGAAAAACAAATTAGATTCCTAAAAGAAATGTTAAATTTGTTTAAGCATATAAATATTATTAATACTAACGGTTCACATGCAACTGTAAAAATTAAATGTTTTGAATGCTGGCAGATTACAATTTCAAGTATAATTAAATTATGGAATACATTAAAATATTTAAATTTTCCTTATCTTCAAACACGAAGAATTAATCAAGATTGTGTCGAAAATTTCTTTGGTACTATTAGACAACAAGATGGTAATTCTTTGAATCCAACTCCAATTCAATTTGTACGTGCCTTTAAAAAATTACTTAGTATGAAATTTTTACAGCACTCAGAAAATCAAAATTGTGCTCAAGATAATGACCAAATGTTAACTTTCATTAATAAAGCAAGTTGTGCTAATCATACTCCAAATTTTACTACACCTTTGCCGTGTAAAATTTTAGATATCCCAAGTCATGATTATTACTCCATGGATCTGCCAGAAAAAAATGCATTTACATATGTATGTGGATTTTTAATTAAAAGATGTACAGAAATTCATTCATGTAATGCATGTATGGTATATGTAAATGAAAATAAGACTGTCTTAGACGATACTTCTCTATATTGTTCTTTTCGAGCTTATTCTAGCGATGAAAATAATTTATACGGAAATTTACACATGCCAAGCAATAATTTCTGTTTTTACATACATCAATTAGAAGAATTATTTGTAAAAAATTTTGAAAATAATTGTTTTAAGAGAAATATTGGCAATTATCTTTTTCAGTTAGCACAGAATATAGTTTTTGAACCGCCATGCTCAGATTTTCCTACAATTTTTTTGATAAAGTTATTTTTACGCATGCGTATTTATTTTACATTATCTCAACATAATAAAGCATGCAAGTATTAGTAGAAAGAATAGGAAACTTTTAAATGTTTCACATTTATAAATTTGTTATATTTAACTATATTATAATATATACAGTCTTATTTTTATGGTTAAAATTTATGTTGCTTGCGTTTTATACATTTAATATTTTTATTAATGTTTATTTTGCTTTTTAATTGCGTTTTATTATAATGTTAAGTTTGTTCATTAACATTCATTGTGTGTGATTTTAACTTTCAGCTTTTTTTAACATTGCATTAATGTTGCATTTCAGAATTTTACATATTACATGTCCAGTTTCATATATATTTATGTACTTACATTTTTATAACTT